AATAATTTACGCTTATTTTACTCAACTACCTGATGCGAAATTATCCTGTAGACCGGCTCAGTCGTGCATCTGTTTCTTAATCCGATATGGGTGTAAATTCAGTGAATGTCCTATAGATCCCAACTTGGTTTTACATTAAAAAAAGCATAAATATACTCATCAAAGTACACTGTGAGCGTAAATCTCTTCCGACACGTCAAACAAGGTGAAATTAACCCTTCAACATTAAAATAAATAATTAGCCTATGAATACGATTAAATCCCAACTTGATTTTAAATTTAAAAAATCATAAATACACATACCAAAGTACACTGTTGTGAAAGTTGGGATCTGATCGTCTTCACTAGGTAATTATTTATTTTGAAGTTTAAGGGTTAATTTCACCCTGCTTGGCGGGTCGGAAGAGATTTTCGCTAACAGTATACTTTGGTGAGTGTATTTATGTTTTTTTAAATTTAAAAGCAAGTTGGGATTTAATCGTCTTCATAGGGTAATTATTTATTTTAAAGTTTAAGGGTTAATTTCACCCTGTTTGACAGGTGCGAAGGGATTGTCTCTTGTAGCGTATTTTAGTAAGTGTATTTATGATTTTTTAAATGTAAAACTAAGTTGGGATCTGGTCGACTTCATAGGATTATTATTTATTTTGAAGCTTAAGGTATAATACACTTCATATGATAATTATTATTTTATGAATTTTATGGGGTAATTTTACCCTGTTTAACGGACCCGAAGAAATGTTTACCTATAGCGTATGTTAGTGTATTTATGATTTTTTAAATGTAAAATTAAATTGCGATCCGATTTCCTTCGTAGGAAAAATATTTTTATTAATTTTAAGCGTATATTAATTATTTGTCGATATTAATGTGTAAAATACAAATTGACAAAATTATTAAAATAGTTGTATGCCGGACGCCACTGTTTTCTAGATCGGGTGTTTTCGGTTATTTTTACTGTTAAAAGTTACTGCTAACTTCACACCGGTTTGTATCCTTATCCTTACATGAAAAAAGTCTTAGAAATCGGGAAATTAAAAAAGAATAACTTCACTTCACGTAATTTTAATCCCCATTTAGAATATTTTGTAGATTAGGTTAGCTTTTCGGTTAAATAATGATTACTTTATTTTACCAATTATTATGAACCATAATAATCACGACATCAAAACAAACTGGGTAATATTATGTAAATCGTTTCAAACTAAACAATGTTACCACGGCAACTGTCATGGCGACAAAGCGAAGCACAAAAAAGGTGAATATCCAAACTCGCTTAAAGCGTGGGGTTGTCCTTCAAACTGACATTTAAATATGTATATGGGAACTTACGATATCCTTTGCCGTGGTTGCTTTGTTTTGTTTGGAATCAGTGACGTCACACTGTCAGGGTTCAATTACTTCTAAATTCATCAGACTACCTCAACAAACAAGTTAAAGCGAACATTGAATTAGTTAAGACATCGTCACGCAATATTAGAAAAACTACCGAAATGTTACAAGTTACAAGTCATCGCAATACTCCGTGGCGCAATATGTCATTGTTTATCTAAAATTGAGTGTCAAAAATATTCGTTTCTTCCCCAAAACTTCATACAAATTGATCTAAAAACAGAAACTAAACAACCTCCAACAGTGTCAGAAGAAGTGGAAAATACGACGATAATTGAAAAAGAACAAATCTAAACATGTTACATTCACCCGCCGATAATATATCACAAATAAACAATGTACAGATACCACAAACTAAAACATTTAGAAAGAACTATACTTGGAAACAACATTATCACAAAAAAAGATAAAATAAGATAATTACTGTGGAAGATGGGCCTTATCAAATATTCCAATTATTTAAAATAATTTCAGATGCCTCTTGGGTTATTATAGAATTATGTATTATTCTGATTGTTAAATAAAATGTAAAGTTTGAAACAAAAATGTGAAAATCCTGAAATATCTTGATAAAGGCTTACCCTGGGCTTACGCGATTAAAGTGAAATAGGATACGTGCAGATTACTTAGTAGATGTTACCAAATTTTTAGTTTTCAGTAAATCTCACAATTTCATTAGATGTCTATATCAAATAACGCAAAATCCAATTTAAAAATAAAATAATATAATCAAAAATAATGAAATTGGGAAGATTAACAGAAAAACTATATAATTTGGCAACATCGCAAAATCTGATAAGCCAGATATAAGGTTTTGTATTAATATCCATATTTTATAATATAAGAAATGACAGAATCAGAAGAGTAGTTTATGCAACAAGAGTGGATATGATGGCTATATCGCACGAAGACGAAGTTTGAGCACAACAATACACTAGAGTTGTACAGGATATTTTTTCTACGTCTTAGCTATTAAATTATAAAAAAAAATAATCAAAATAATCATCTTGGATTTAAACCCCGGACCTTTCGTACAGGAACTCATCAATGCAACTTTTGCGCTATCAACTCACATATACTGATAAGAAGTCACTAACTTGAAATTTTAAAAAGAAATAGTCCTGAGATAATAGTAGTTTATGCAACAAGAGTGGAAATGATGGCCATACCGCACGAAGACGAGTGCTAAATAGACAATCCACTCGAATTGTACAGTATATTTTTTCTATGACCCACTAACGAAAATCTACAAATTTAAAAAAAAATTCTACTAAACGAAAAAGAATGTTATTGCGTTCAACTTAACGAATATATTTTATATCCATTCTAGGTAGTGAAAACACTGCAAAACATTGAAATACACCAATCAAACTATATGAAACTAGTTTAATTACGAGTATTAAAACTAAAATCATAAAAGTGGCCATTGGAGCTATGGCAGAGCATTTGTCTTTCGCGCGAATGGCCTGGCTTCGAATGTTTTTGTTTTTTGTTTTTTGTTTTTTTTTTGTTTGTTTGTTTGTTTTTTGTTTTTTTTTTTTTTTTGTTTTTTTTTGTTTTTTTTTTGTTTTTTTTTTTGTTTTTTCTTTTGTTTTTTTTTTTGTTTTTTTTTTGTTTTATTTTTTGTTTTTTTTTGTTTTTTTTTTGTTTTTTAATTTTGTAAATTAGTAAAATTCATAAATTATTAACAGATTTCAAAAAAGGATGAGGTTGTTAGGAAGAGGGTACTTAAGGGGTGGTCCCATATAAATTTGGTCAAAATCTAATAATTGGATCCATGAGAAAATCCTCAAACACTTAATTTTTTATGTATGTTTAGCGATAATTCATTACCACCTTGTCCGATTTATATGATTCTTTTTTTGTTAGAAAGGGGGCACTTCAGGGGTGGTCTCATATAAATTTGGTCAAGAGGTGGTGATGGCATCTGAAAGATTTTGAAGTCGGTTTTTTAAAATAACTTTTTAAAATTAGTAATTTTGTCTTTTAACCTAAAATAATTATTTAAATTTGTAGATTTTCGTTGGTGAGTTGTAGAAAAAATATACTGTACAACTCGAGTGGATTTTCCATATCCACTCTTGTTGCACAAACTACTATTTTTTACACCCACATGGATATTAGTTTTTCTATACATAGATTACAAAACGAAAAAGTATGCTATTGCCTTCAACTGAATGAATATATTTCATATCCATTCTAGGTAGTGAGAACACTGCAAAAAAAATAAATCCACCAATCACAGTTCATATTTTAACCAACCGCCTGCTATTGTTTTTAAAATTTTTAATAAGTGACAATTGTCAAACTAATTGTCATTATATTTTTTAGTTATTGAGATTAAAGATACATTAAAATTAGTTATTCTTGTATAGAATCGATAAATAATAGAATTTCTATTTGTATTTCATCTATAATTATAAATAATTTGTTAATTTAAATAAAACTATATGAAGTCAATTTAATTACGAGTATTAAAGCAAAAAATAAACGCACAGATGGTCCTGTGGTCAGAATTCTTGCCTTTTAAATGTAAAACTTCAAATCTCAGAAGGAGCAAAATGAAATGATTTTTTTTCTTTTTTTTTGTTAATTTTATTTTATTTTATAAATTGGTGAAAGTTATAAATTATTTTTAAATTAATTAATTTATCTTAATAACCTAAAATAATTTTCAATATTTGTACATTTTTGTTAGTGGGTCGTAGAAAAAATATACTTTATAACTCGAGTGGATTGTCCATATCTACTCTTGTTGCACAAACTACTATTGTTTATCTATGGAATAGTCGGTACTAAATATCAACTGTGATTGGTGGATTTCATATCCTTACTAGAATCGATATGAAATTATATCCATTCAATAGACTGACACGATCTACATATTCATTCTACAGGGTGTTTCAAAAAACAGGTAAAAGGTAGATTCCTTATATAAAAATAAGACTTCTTTTTCATTTCAACATAGGTCCGATTCTGTTTTGTTACGAAACTACAGGGTGTCAAAATTTAATTCGAAAAAATACCAAAGGGGCATTTTTTAATCGAAATTAAATAAGGTTCCAAACCTGTATGTTTTGAAGTTTAAAAGACAGAGTTTCACTTTTTATTTTAATTTTCTTTACACTGTAGCTTCGAAATAAAGTAGAATCGTACCTATGTACATGAAACAAAAGTCTTATTTTTATGTGAGGAATCTGCCTTCGAATGTTTTTAAAACATCCTGTATAGCTTGTGCATAAAATGCAAAACTCTTATGGGTGGCTATAATTTCATATTTTTTATATGTATTTTTAATGAACACATTTAATATTTTTGACGTTCTTCGTACACGATAATTAAACAAAAAAAGAGCTAATATTCAGTTTTAGACAAAGTTTTCATTTACCTGTGAAAACAAAAATAAACAATATTTCCGCATGGTGCATGAATAAAAATATGACCATTTCAATACCAATACGAAAAATAAACTAAATTTTGAAAATAATTTGTTTCCTGCCTTAAAAATTTGATTGGCGAAAATTAGCTGCAATAAAAACACTGTCTATTTAGCTTTTTTGGTAGGTATGTCATTCTAGATCCATCTTGACAATGACGTAAAATGACTCATCTGTGAAAATAATCAAATTATATTTTACCAAAATCGGTCATATAATATTTAGGATATGAACCCATTTCAATCAAAATACAGAGTGCTGGAAAAAATAGGTGAGGGGTCATTTTCTGATGTATTGAAATGTGAAAATAGAACAACCAAAATTTGTTATGCAGCGAAAAGACTTAAGAAATGTTACAAATCAGAGGCCAACTGCCAATCGTGCGCCGAAATCGTGGCAGCCCAAAAGGTACCGTTCCATCCAAATATACTGAACATGTTGGAATACCATTTTGATTCGTTTTCGGGAAAGGTAACGTTAATCTTTGAGCTAATGGATATGAGCATGCACGATTATTTGAAGACCAAGAGGAGAGGTTTAGCGGAGAACAGAGTGAAGTGTTATTTGTATCAAATACTTAGAGGACTGGAACATCTGCACAGCCATGGTTTGTTTCACAGAGACGTGAAACCGGAAAATATACTTATTAAATTTCCATCCATTCTATACGCCCCGCTCTCCCAAACCAATTCCGAAGAGATCATTAAACTGGCCGATTTAGGATCAGTCAGAGGTATATTTAGCTCGCCACCTTACACTGAATACATTTCTACCAGATGGTATCGATCTCCAGAATGTCTGTTAACTGTGGGCAACTACGGTCCCAAAATGGATATATGGGCTGCCGGCTGCGTATTCTACGAAATGCTTACACTGCGTCCCCTTTTTCCAGGAAGCAACGAAATTGATCAACTGTGTAAAATCCACCATGTTCTCGGATCACCGAATCTACAGTATCTCACACGTTTGAAATCCAGATCCAGACATTGCATTTGTTTCCCGAAGATCAAAGGAACTGGTACGTGTGGACTGTTGCCTTACGTAAGTAGACATGGAAGAAACGTCCTAGATCTAATGATAGAATACGATTGGGAAAAACGAACTAATGTCAAGAGACTGCTGAAGCATTGCTATTTCGATGACGTCAGAGATGCTCTAGATGTCGGTTTAAAATCGACGTTTCCGAACTTTTGGCATCAAGATTCCCTCAACGTTATCAATAAAAGTATGGGCGATGATAGCAACGTTAGTTCCAGCGGGCCGAAAAAGAAGATTTTGAAACGCGAACATTACAGCGACGAGGCCAGAAAGAGTTCGAATCAAACCGTAAGACCGAAGCTGTTCAAAAACATCGGCAACGAGGATTCGAGAAGAGAAAGCAAGGAAGGCGATAGTAACAGAAGTGAGAACGCCAACAAATCTAGCGCCGATAGTAAAAAAGGAAGATTCACGACGAATCACGAAGTGCCATTTTATCCTCGTTCGGGAAGCCAAAATCGGAAACTACCATTAGCGGACTTCAAATCTCACCGGTCTACGGAGAAAATACAAGTTTCCAGAGATCCAATAAAAAGGATTTTAAGAGGCAAGGCTGTAAAAGATCCATCTGGAAGATTCTTAAAAGCTACCAGTAACGTTGAAGGTCGCGAGAGAAAGAGCATCACCAGCGAATCGTTCAGACAACTTCATTCCAAGTCTTTCGTTATACCTAGAAATAACGTCCCGCCTAAATCTACGAAAAACATGTCCGAAACATCGCCCAAAAATAATTATCGAGAATCAATGCATACTTAAAATTGGATAAGGAATAAAAAAAATGTAAATTATGTCAAAATATAAAAACGTCATTGTCATAATATTTGTAAAGCACACTGTATACAATTTGTGCAATAAAATTTTGTCTCGCCGTTACAGTGTTTTATTCCGACAAAGTAAAATGATTTTATCTGTTGAGGTAGCGTGGCTAACGGAACTGCAGACAAGCTATTTAAAAAAATCTTACCCCCATGTTTTTTAGGTCCGCACTCCTATCTTCCAGTATCTTTCGCTCTCCAAAACTTCTACACTGAATCAATCAAACAAGCGGGTCATGCAAAAAAAATTGAAAAAACGCACACAATTAACTACATCAGCGCCAATTCTACAAACTAAATGGTAAATTTTCACAAAAAAATAAAACAAGTTTTGGATAATTTTTTGTTTGTATCAGGAGTACACAGCTGCTGATTTGATGCCTTGTTAGGGATTAAAACTTATAGTGGTGCAAAATTCAAACCAAAAGTGGTTTAGATCACATACGATTTATGTAGTAGGTACCTTCGTTATTAATAGAAATATTGTTTTGTTTAAAAGCTTGAAATAATTAATTTCTTCTAATAATAATATAACAATACTCTCCAACATTCACCCCCTTACGAGTGTATTTCAACCACTGAAGCCGACTGAGCGACTTGTGTAGGGGAGGGGACGCATATTATTTTTATTTGCCGTGGCGCTCCGGGGCGACTTAAAGATGATTGATGGCGCCATTTGACTTACAGGTGAGAAAAACCCAGAAAACCCCACGGTTCGTAGACAACACGGTGGCCTCATCACGGTTGCTAAGGATGCAGTGACGTCACGGAGTGAGTTAACAGAAAATATTTTACTTGGCGTAAATTAGTTTTTTAAAAATTCTAATATTTTATTGTTATTTAGTTGTGTTAATGTTTTTATTTTTGAACTTTGTTTTGGTGTTACAGTTTTTATAATATTATATTTATACAGGGTGTAACTAAATAAGTGTAAAACATTTAAGGGGGTGATTCCTCATCGAAAAAAAGATAGGATCTTTCATATAAAGAAACTTCATTGGAGCATCCCTTGTTAAGATACAGCCCCTTAAAGGGGCTACATAAAATTTGTTTAACAATTTTTTTACAAGCACTAAACAAGTTACAATATTGAAATTAACCTGTCATTTTCTACTATCAAAAAGACACTTAGCCAGTAGCGGCCTACTAGATAAATTAGTTTCGTATTTTCGTTTTATGGCGATATCTATCTAAAATAATTTTTTATTTAGAATGTAACAGGCTATCGGAAATAAATTTTTAAATGGTAAACAAACAATAAGACAAAAAGTTAGGTTGGAACGAAATTTTAGGGGTTGCGTTTTCCACCCCTTACAACCATGGGGTAAACCAAATAAATTACTGGCTAAGTGTCTTTTTGGTAGTAGAAAATGTCAGGTTAATTTCAATATTGTAACTTGTTTAGTGCTTGTGAAAAAAATTGTTAAACAAATTTTATTTACCCCTTTTAAGGGGCTGTATCTTAACAAGGGATGCTCCAATGAAGTTTCTTTATATGAAAGATCCTATCTTTTTTTCGATGAAGAATCACCCCCTTAAATGTTTTACACTTATTTAGTTACACCCTGTATATGCCTATAAGAAATCCTGTCCCCTGAGGCTGGTCCAACACGATCAGACGACTACCGCATGGTGATGTCACGAGTTGGATCACCTCAGGAAGATGGCTAGGAAATCCTTTATTAAGGCAAGAACCATAAAACTCAAAGAGGACTGGGATACAACTCTCACCTCAGAAAATACAAAAAAATCGTCAGACAAAAACAGAGAGATGCACGGAGATCCTACTGCGAAGAAATCGAAGATTTCCCGTAGACAGCGAGGCTTCAAAAAGCTCTCTCAAAAGATTCACACCGAAGCATTAGTGTGCTAATCAAAGAAGATAGCACGAAAACTGCCAACCTCGAAGACATCATCAAACTTCTGCTGTCAACACACTTCCCTGACTCGGTCATCACAGACGTGGCCGACTGGGTAGAGGAAGAATACAATCCATCTGTCTATAATTAGCAAACTGCCAAACACATTGTAGACGATGAAAAAATTAGATGGGCAATATCCAGCTTCTCTCCATTTAAATCGTCAAGACCTGACGGTATCTATCCAGCCCTACTTCAGGGGGTCTGGAAGAACTTACACCGCACCTGGTGGGTATATTCAGATCCTCGTTGGCTCTGAGGTATATCTCCAAAAAATGGAGAGAAGTAAAAGTAGTATTTATACAAAAAACTTGGAAGGTTGGATTACACTGTCCCAAAAATATACCGACCAATTAGTCTGACGTCGTTTTCCATGAAGACATTGGAAAGGCTATGCGAAAGGAACATAAGGGATGCGGTGATTACAACAACACCACTACACACAAACCAACATGCGTACACCCCAGGCAGATCTACTGATTCAGCCCTTCATCTAGTTTCTGGCCGGATAGAAAGATCCCTGGACAATAAGGAGTTCGCCTTATGTGTTTTCATAAACATAGAAGGTGCTTTTGATAAAACCACCTTCCCAAAGATAATACACTCACTAACCAACAGGAATGTTCCACAAATGGTTAGTGGGTGGATACATAACATGCTCTCAAAGCGAGCAGCAAACATAAGTGTAAAAGATGTGAATATAAGATGCTTGGTTGCGAGGGGATGTCCACAGGGAGGATTGCTATCACCTCTACTGTGGAATATGGTCCTCGACACCCTCATCAGCTGCCTCAATAATGACAGTCACTACACAATCGCATATGCAGATGACCTGGTCATTCTGCAAACAGGTAATTTTGAGAACATACTCTGCGAAAGAATGCAAGTAGCTCTAAAAATTATAAAACAGTGGTGCAAGGACCATTCACTGTCTATCAATCATAAGAAGTCAAAAATGATCCTTTTCACAAGGAAAAGGATGAAAATGAAATTAAAACATCCAGAACTCCTAAATACAAACCTAAACTTTGCGACAGAGGTAAAATACCTAGGTCTTACCTTTGACAGCAAGTTAACATGGAACTCTCATATAGAAAACAGAGTTAAAATAGCATTCATTGCTTATGAACAATGCCGCCGAACCGTGGGACGCACCTGAGGTTTCTCCCCTAGAGTCGTCGCATGGACTTCACGGCTATCATAAGACATATGCTAACATACGGTGCAGTTGCCTGGGTACTAAAAACCCAAAAATTAACAGCTATCCGTAAACTGGATGGAAGTCATTCTAAGTCTCACTCCCCTTGATATTTACATCAAGGAGGTTGCTCTGACGACAATGACATGCCTGCGCACGGTTGGAATAGAACCTGATGTAGGATATGGTGAGGCGAGACGTCACTTTTGGCAGGAGGCGCTCGATACGCTCCCACTGCTTCAAGCGAACATGGACTCCATCTCGCCGAGATATATCTTCCATAAACCATATAAAGTTATAATAGAACAAATAGAAGAGCCAGAAGTGGCAGGTACGATTCATATCTACACCGGCGGTTCTAAAACAAAACAAGGTTCAGCATATGGAATATACTCCAGATTCTTAAACCTAAACATAAAATGGGCTGTAAGCAATAGTGCCAGTGTAGTTTAAACAGAGCTAACGTGGATTCTCATAGCAGCAAAAGAAATCACCAGAAACAATATCACTGGAACATGCTCATCTATATGTACTAGAATATCTCGAAGCTTTGGCCGAAGTATCTATCAACAAAGTGGTCATCTTAAGATGGATCAAAGATCACGCCACATCGAAACCGTCTTGCTGATTTACTAGCCAAGAAAGCAGCCAACCAAATAGTGTTTGGACCTAGAAGGGATGAAAGATGGGATGAAAGATGAGATGAAAGATGAGATGAAAGATGAGATGAAAGATGAGATGAAAGATGGGATGAAAGATGGGACGAAACAAGAAACTGCAGAGTTGTCAGGGAGCTCTTAAGTTATCCTGACAACACTGCAGCAAATACTTGACTATGACTAGACATACTTTGCAATTTGCGCCCAGTCACACGCATTCTTATTGGTCATAGCCAAGTACTAAAGCATCTTCATATCATGGGGCTATCAAAATCCGCCGCAGAGGGTGCGAACAAGAAGGTGAGACCATCGAGCATATCCTTTACGATTGCTCGACGCTCTCATTTATTAGAATATTTATGTTCGGCGAGTATCGGCTAACACCGGCTGATATAAGAGAAACACATCTTGGTGACGTTGTTAACTACATTAAATCTGTAGACTGCCTAGGAGGGGATTATCATCTTAGGAGGATGCACAATGGGTCTAGTGAGGCCTAAGTGCCGTGGGGGCAACCCACCACACGTTTTAGATACACCTAGAAGTGTCACTGACACCCTTACCATTATAAATTTCACTCTTATCTTCGTTATTGATAATTGAGAAATTCGAGTGATTTTTTTTACGTACTTTCGTATAATGAATTAAATTATTCTGTGCCGTTTTCGGAAACAACAAAAAAAATCGCAATTTATTTCTACTTTTAAACGTACCAAACGTATAGTTTTCATACCTAAGAAGCCATCATTATCTCAGTTACTTCTCCATGGCTTAGATAGATACCATTATAATATTTTATACGACCAAAAAAACGAAATATGTCCAGAGCTGCCATACTGATTTGTTGGATGGGTAAGATTTCTTGCAAAAGTAATAAACAGTGCAACGCATGCATAATTAATTTAAAGACATGCAGACTTCTTGGTAAACATATGCAAACAAGGTTGCCTATAACGCTAAAACATTTAGCAAGCCCCCTTCCACAAGTTAAAAGCATAAACTATACTTTTCAATATATTACCCATTATTTACTCTTTAAGACATGCTCAAGAAGAAAGGGAAATATTTTTGGAGATAGGAGACTCCTCATTTCGCAAGCAGACCTCTATTAGTTTGATATTTATGGTGATTACAGTACCCCCTTATAATTTTCGGACAAGGATATCTCAAAAAGTAATTTTTTTAAAAATTTTGGAAAAGTATATTAGGCAATAAAACCTAGAATATGCATATATTTTAAATTTTTAATTCCTTTGAGTTTCCGAGAAAAAAAATCAA